ATTGTGTGCTTGTTGCTGTGGAGCTTGGAACAGTTATGCCAAAAGAGTTGTAGACGATGGAGGCCTGGCTTGTGAAGCTTCAAAGGTAGGCAGAGACTATCAGGGCTGTTCATGTGATATTTTGGATTGAGAATCTGTGGGTTCTGGTTGACTGGAACTGAAGAATCACCTGTGATTAAGAAGAGACCAGAACCTGAAGTAAAACCTTTGCTTTACTGGGACAATTGATGCTGGTTAGCTGGGGCTGAAAAAAATCAGCTGTAAGTAACAAGAGACCAGCATCACTGTGTTGGAGTCTTCTGGGAGGTATTTTCTCAGGGTCAGCACACAGAGGGGACCCGCACCTCTATTTCAAGCTGGAAGCAGGACTTGGTAATTCGTAAGAATCTCCTGCATGGTTTCGGTGTTGAAAGCATGAAGGGGTCGTAGAGAGCAGCTGAGGCTTGGCACCCCAAGAGGCAAGAAGAGGCCATTGGTGAAGGTGTAGCCTCCGTTTCATTAGAGACCCCAGCTTTTTGGAGATGCCAGGGCCATGGGACGACCACCAAGGATAGTGGCAGGTGTGGAATGGAGCTGGCCTGGGTCTGTGAGACAAGCTGAGTGTGCTGTAGAGCAGAGTCAGAGCAGTGGAGCTGCCAGAACCCTTTGGATCCCAGAAGATCGTGAGTGAATCCCAGATGTCCAGCCTTGAGCTGCTTTGCTGGACTTGGTTTTACTTAGGTGTGCCCGATTCTTCCCTTTGAAATAAGACAGTACTTGTTTGGTATTCTACAGAAGCCCATAGTTGAGACTTTTTTTTTTTTAGTTCTTTTTAAAAAAATACATTTTATTTAGTATTTTTATTTTATGTTTATGAGTGTATTGCCTGCGTGTATGTGAGTGCACCCATGTCATGCAATGCCTCGGAGGTCAGAGGAGGGCGTTGGATTCCCCTGGAACTGGAGTTAAGGACAGTTCATAGCCACAATGTGGGTGCTGGGAATTGAACCTGGGTCCTTTGTAGGAACAGTCAGTGCTCTTAACTGCTGAGCCATCTCTCTAGCCCTACAGTTGAGACTTTTAAAAGAGATTGAACTTTTTAAGTGTTTGGATTTTTTTAAAGGACTGTGGGGCTTTTAAGGTTGTACTGTCTTATGTTGTGGTGTTAATGTTAACATCATACCTTGGGGACAAGAAATGGAAAGACTGTGGTTTAATAGTGATGCATTTGTGTGTCAAGTTGACAAGGGGTCAGTTGTGCTGGATAACTTTAGTGTCAGCTTGACACACCTGGGTAGAGGGAGCATCAATTTAGGAATTGCCTCCATAGGACTGGCCTGTGGCCATGTCTGTGGGGTATTTTCTTGATTACTGAGTGATGTGGGAGGGCCCAGCCCACTGTGGGTGGTGCCACCCCTGGGCAGGTGGGCCTGTATAAGAAAGCAGGCTGAGCAGGGGCCAGGGGAGCAAGCCAGTAAGCAGCGTTCCTCCATGGCCTGTGCTCCAGCTCCTACCTCCAGGTTCCTGCCCTGAGTTCCTACCTTGGGCTCCCTGAAGAACTGTGACCTGAGATGTAAGCTGAATAAACCCTTTCCTCCACTAGTTGGTATTGGTCAGAGTGTTTTGCCACAGCAATGGAGAAACAAGCTAGGACATCAAGTTTTTATTCATTCTGTATGGCTGTTGTCTCCCCTTTACTTATTTTGTGTGTGTGTGTGTGTGTGTGTGTGTGTGGTATAACTGTGCACACCTGCACACACATGGAGGCCAGGGAGGATGTCACACATCCTGATTATTCCCTTGAGACAGGATTTTTCACTGAACATGGAGCTAGACTGGTAGCCAGCAAGCCCCAGGGTCCTCTAGTTTCTACTCCTGTAGTGCTGGGGTTATAAGCATGTGTGTGGCTGCACTGGCTTTTCATGAGGGTGCTGGGGATTTGAACCCGGGTTCTCATGTTTGTCCAGCAAGCACCCCTACCCCCTGAACCACCTCCCCAACTCCTTATACCACCTTGTAATCAACCTCATTCCTGTACCACCTCACCCTTGGCCCTAGAACAAAGGTGTATAGATGTGGGCACCACACAGAGGTCTACCTGAATGGTGATGGTAAGATGACATGTGTTGAACCTTTTTATGTCAACAATAATCAGAGCTTTCCTGATTATCTCATTTAAAACTCAGAGCCAGTGAGGGAAAATTCCGGTAATATCCTTTTGCAAACAGAATTGAAAAGCCTTTGAATAACTTGCCCAAGATCCCCATGTTCTAACTGGCCAGGTCTCAAACCTCGTGTCTTTTTTCTGGGATTGGTGGCTCCTGTCTCCTGCCTCATCCGGCCTCCATCAATGTTCACAGAGGGCCCCCCTCCAGGCCTGCTGGGTACCTTGACCACCCACACTGTGCTCTGATCCTGGCCTGCTTCATTTGCCTACCCACCTTCCCATCCCTCCACTGACCTGGCAGAGCCATCCTGCCTCCTGAATTCTCAGAGCCCCTGTGCCTTTACGTCACATGTTCCTGACCTTGTTGGCTGTCCTTGTCTGTGCTCAACTGGACCTCAGATCTTAACACCCAACCCGGATCACTGCTCATCTCTAGAAACTTCCGTGGGTTTGGTGGGAATTTGCAATTCCTGTGTCTGGTTAGCCTCAGGTCTGTGTGAGCTGGAGAGATAAGACCCTCTGTGATCTGCAGTTTTTTATATCAGTGGCTCCAATCAACGGCGCACAGGAAATACTGGAGGCCAAAACTGCATCTACACGGAACCTTTGCCTTGGGATTTCCTAAACTGTTCGGAACCACTAGCCTAGCACCCACAGGATTTTAGGCATCAGAAATAGTCTAGAGAGAATTTAAAGTGTGTACGGAGATGTGAGTAGGTTACAGGAAAACACACCTTTTTATACGGCAGACTGAAGCATCCACAGATGTGGATATTCTTAGCAAACCCCAGAACCAATGCCCCGTGGGTGCCGAGGGGCCTATACTTGGCCTCTGTCCTAGTTCCTAAGCTGCTGGGGCATCAAGTCTCAGCTTGCCCTGGGGCTAATCCTGCCCCTGGAGTTGTTTGGTGACTCGCTGTAATCTATAGTGAGTGATGTAG